TCTTTCATAACACTGTTAAGGTTATTTCCATCCAAATTATTCTTATAATTCAAATAATGATAAGCCACATGCGTCATCTTGCATATATTATAATTAAAACCATCATATGCTGCCTTAGAAGGTGACAGACATATACAAAATACAAGATGTATTTTGAAGGAATAATTTTTTTGTTCGAACTTCTGACATTGTTATAAATTTTTTTTATGAATAACAGTCATGGCAGTTGATAATAAAAAAATAACTCAGATTGTTCTAAGGGAAACGCCCCCAGTAGCACAGCGATAAGTCTGCGGCTTTAAAACGCTAGAAGGCGGGTTTCCATACCCATGGTAGGTACAGCACAGATAGCCCGTTGTATAGTTTTGTACTTAGGAAAATGTGTAATGTTATTATAATACGTAGTGCTCTGTAAGAAACGAGAAGCATAATTGATGTAAAGACTGCTTTTCCTATAAACATTACAATATGGAATGGTCCAGTTGTGGTTTTCGTAAATTAAACAAATTATCATATATTAAAGAAAATATTTCCATTTTTAATTCATCTTGGATTTCCAAGTCACGTTTTAGGTTATTATGAAACGTATTGCGGTTTTATTCTTTATGAATATACTTTGTAAGTGTTATGGAGATCCTTGCAGAGCAATCTTTTCTGTAAACATTCAATCAAGAGTACTATAATATGTGGTTAAATATTTTGCATTTTTTACATAATCGAGTTTTCTTTTTGAATGTTTTTTTATTCTTTTTTTTTAGTGTACTTATCAAAGGCGTTCAGTACTACGCAAGTGAACCACAGAAACTTGGAATTACGTTTCTTCGATTGGTAAGAATGTTTCATTTTCTTAATTGGTGTTTATGGTGATAGCAAAGAGATAAACTTCACGTGTGAGTTAATCTAGAAACATTACAGAGAACGTTTCACGTTGGGGTGTTCTATAACTTTAGAAAGACAAATAAACATATATCTGCTACTCGATCTATAAAATGAACATAAATTCTAATACGTGCATTTACTTCCAATATAAATTAAATTCTGTAGAAAGTTTTATTCAAAATGTGCTGTCTTGAAGAGTCTTTAATTATATTAAAATATTTAAAATGTTGAATTAGGTTTTGGTTTTATATGCACAAAAATTTTTGAAAAAAATTATAGATATGTTTTATAGTTAGTTGTTGCAGGTTAATTGTAGACTGTGTAGGTATGTTTCATAGTTAGTTGTTGCAGGTTAATTGTAGACTGTGTAGATATGTTTTATAGTTAGTTGTTGCAGGTTAATTGTAGAGTGTGTAGATATTTTTTATAGTTAGTTGTTACAGGTTAATTGTAGACTGTGTAGATATGTCTTATAGTTAGTTGTTGCAGGTTAATTGTAGACTGTGTAGATAAGTTTTATAATTAGTTGTTGCAGGTTAATTGTAGACTATGTAGATATGTCTTATAGTTAGTTGTTGCGGGTTAATTGTAGACTGTGTAGATATGTTTTATAATTAGTTGTTGCAGGTTTATTATAGACTGTGTAGATATGTTTTATTGTTAGTTGTTGCAGGTTAGTTGTAGACTGTGTAGATATGTTTTATAGTTAGTTGTTGCAGGTTAATTGTATACTGTGTAGATATGTTTTATAGTTAGTTATTGCAGGTTAATTGTAGACTGTGTAGATATGTTTTATAGTTAGTTGTTGCAGGTTAATTGTAGACTGTGTAGATATGTTTTATAGTTAGTTGTTGCAGGTTAATTGTAGATTGTGTAGATATGTTTCATAGTTAGTTGTTGCAGGTTAATTATAGACTGTGTAGATATGTTTTATAGTTAGTTGTTGCAGGTTAATTATAGACTGTGTAGATATGTTTTATAGCGTGTGATGATTTTGTTTTCTACTATAAAACTTATCTTAACATAAGCTAAGTGAGCTGTGAGATCCTGCATCAAGCCACTTTCCAAGTGCCCGCGACTTTGTCTTATAGAGATTAGTATATCAAAGCTGTTAGCCTCCATACCCCCAGTGGCACAGTGTTATGTTTGCTAGAAACTGAGTTTCGATACCCGTGATGGGCAGAGTACAGATAGCCCTGTGTAGATTTGTGCTTAATAACAAACAACAACAACAAAGCTGTTATAAGATCGTGCTTGATGTCTGACTTTTTGTGTGATGTTTTCAGGAGAGGGACTTCGACAAGCATGTGAAGTATTGCCGGGATGAACCACAAGCTCAAGCAGCACTGTCGTCTGGCTCCCTGAAGAACTATTTTGATGTAACAGAATTTTATAAAATTTCGTAATGTAGTTGAAATTAAGCAAGAAAACTGAAATATTCATAATTCAAACATTTTCTGTTGACTTCGAGTTCACCGTATAAAAAAGTGTGGCATAGAAGAACAGCTATTCATTAATGTTATATAATATTAAACAATAATTCTCGGTTTTGTGATAATATAATGACACAATTTTAAAAAACACTGAAATAAATAAATTAGTAGAACACTTCCCTCATTTAATCAAGAAACTATTTTCTTGTTTTATCGATTCATTGCCGAGAAATAGTTTTTAATGTAAGAACAGACTAAATGAACTGACAATTAAGTAAATATTTTTTCAAGATTCAAATAAGAAATGACTAACATTTGATTTTAAAAACTATTGCTATCATATCTGGAATAATGTATCAACGTGATGTTTAAAATAATTTTCCCTAGTACAAGTTAATATTTTTTTCGAGATATATAATAGTAAGTAAATTAATTTATTTTAATTTTATCACAGTGACACTAAGAAAAGTTAGAATAGTTAATTGGATTCGAACTCGCAGTCCTACTAATACACCTGTTTTCCTTTCCTTTTACACAGGATTTCAGCAGGAAAATTGGTGACGATAAAACTTTGGCAGAACATTTGAAGCTTCCGATTCAAAGGATAAACGACTATGTATTATTGATAAAGGTAGATCTTTATACTTAGAGCTAATATACCACTCGAACAAATCTGTTAAGGTAATTATCAGGGTATATAATATACTTAGAGCTAATATATCTATGTGTTTACTAAAATCATTCTTTAATAACACTGCCTCCTCGGTGAGTCAGTGTTAAGTTTACGAACTTACAATGTTAAAATCCGGGGTTCTTTTCCCTGCGGTGGACAAAATGCAGTTAGCCCATTGTTTAGTTTTATCCTAAAAGCACAAACAAAAACAATAATGCTGATTTTGTAACGAATACTTTTCCAGATCTTATCCAAAACTTTACTCTTACCTTTTACTTTGATTTAAGATATGTTGTTTTAATGGTAAAATAATGTTGTGACATTTTCAGAATTAACTATTGACTTTTAGCCGAATTTAAGTTTGTTAAAATTATACTAGTTAATATTTTTGTTTACCCTGAATTTAAAATGCAATTATTGGAATATAAGATATTTTTCTTTTAACATCATAATTATTTTTAAACGGATATTAAGAATTTTCGGATATAAATCGCTTTACTAAAAATAAATGTGAAATCCAATGTATCATTTGTCACCTTGTTTTAAAGCGTTTTTATTTCCCACTAGGAACTAATTAAATATACTAACCGCTTGAGAGAAGACACCACTGATCTACAGAGGGCTCTGGACTTTATGATGTGTGTTCCACAACGTGCAACCGATCTCACATATATCAATGCACTGGAAGGTTACTGTGGCAACGTTCACAAATTGGGTCGTTTGATAAAACATGTAAGCAGTGCAATAAAAATAAAGTAATATTTATTGAATGAACAGGGTATGCAAAATGTTCTTCGTAAAACTTATATTGGGCTTATGATGAAATAACTAACGCTTCTTAGTTTATAAATATAACTCGTACATAAAATCCTTTTCACAGTTCTGAACACAAAACTCGTGCTTTCCAGTTAATATGCGTATTTCCAAGTTTCTTAACTAACCCTTTTCACAGTTCTCAACACAAAACTCGTGCTTTCCAGTTAATATGCGTATTTCCAAGTTACTTAACTAACCCTTTTCACAGTTCTCAACACAAAACTCGTGCTTTCCAGTTAATATGCGTATTTTCAAGTTACTTAACTTTTTAAAGCTTTATATTTTGGTTTTGAATGTTCCCTTAATATCAAAGTATTTTGTTTATTTGTATTAAAGTTTCGGAAAATATTTTTGTAGCATTTGTTCTAGTCATTCCTTTAGTAACATCTATGCGTTTTAATTCCCTCATCAGTGAAATACCATTATTCTGAATTATTTAGTTTAACATATTTTACACTTGTGATCGTGAAAATCTCTAAAACAAAACCACCGTTCTTTATAGTAAATACAAACAAAAAGAAGTAACAAAATATGTTCAATCAAAACTTCCTTCTTAGGCTAAGCAGGAAGATATGAAAATCGGTGAAATATTACACTTGGATACCAATAAGTGAGCTTTACAGCGATGTGACGTATTTTCCTCTACCTGGTGGTAGATAAAAATATAAATCTTGGTGAACTACAGAGCTTAGAGGTCAGAAATCATAAATGATATCCAGGAAAATCGGTGAAATATTACACTTGGATACCAATAAGTGAGCTTTACAGCGATGTGGGATATTTTCCTCTACCTGGTGGTAGATAAAAATATAATCTTGGTGAACTACAGAGCTTAGAGGTCAGAAATCATAAATGATATCCAGGAAAATCGGTGAAATATTACACTTGGATACCAATAAGTGAGCTTTACAGCGATGTGGGATATTTTCCTCTACCTGGTGGT